TCTAAAGTTCTTTCAGAAAGTTAACATAAGTTTATGTTTAAATAAGCCTATTTATGAGCCTATTACTCTCATTAACTTCTACAACCCTATGAGATGTCTGAGGTTTTTTTTTTTTAATTTCATTACTCTTCCATAATGTTCTTCTTTAGAGGCTCACAAATAATCAGCAGAAAACAACACTTTAATTCCATGCCAATGCATGAGAAAAAGAATAAAAGAGAAACAAAAACAAATTCCTCCTGAATACAATTGAAAGAGATCTTTTGTCTGAGATAGGGCCTAAAAATTAGAATTCCCTGTACTATTCTAATTCTCCCTCCTGGTTATACCCCAGACAAGGAGGATGTGGGGACTATGGTTGGATTTGCAGACACATAGCCAGTGCCAGACTAGTCAGGAAATTTCTGGATGAGCCCTACTGCTTCAAAGATTCTCAGAGACATGTTGGAGCTGTGATGAGAATTTGTTCATTGATTGGAGAAACTCTTCCCCCTTTCCTGACAGAAGAGAAATCTACTCTCAACTAGCAATAATTTGCACCACTGTCTTATTCTGGTCTGGCCATATTTAATTTCCTCTTTTTTGCCCCTTCCTTCCCATGAGGCAACTGTTCTATAGATTGATTTTGTCCTAATCTCTAGCTTCATCTAAGTGGAATCACATAGGATATATTCTTCATATCTGGCTTAGTTTATTCACATAATGTTTTTGAGATTCATCCATGTTATTGCTAAATCAATAGTTCGGTCCTTTTTTATTACTAGGTAGTGTGCCCCTGTATTAATATACCCATGATTTTCTTATTAATTCTCCTGTCAGTCAGCATCATGCTTTTTGCCTATTATGAATATAGAGTCCATGAAACTCATACACGATGTGGACATAGGTTTTTTTAATTTCTCTTGAATAAATAACCAGGAGTAAAATTATTGAGCATGCAATTACCTTTATTAGAAACCATCAAATGGTTTTTCTAACTGGTTGCACCAATTAACATTCTCATTAGCGATGTGTAAGAGATCCGGTTGTTATATATCTATGCCAACACTTTAGATCTTCAGTCTTTTAAAAGGTTAGCTATTCTTTTTTTTTTAATATTGGTTTTCTTTATTTATTCGAGAGAGAAAGTGAGCACAAGCACAAGCAGGGGGAGGGGCAGAGGGAGAGGGAGAAGCAGGCTCCCCGCTGAGCAGGGAGCCCGATGTGGAGCTTGATCCCAGGACCCTGAGATCACAACCTGAGCAGAAGGCAGACGCTTAACCAACTGAGCCACCCAGGCACCCCTAAAAGTTTAGCTATTCTAAATATGACATAGTAATGTTGCATTGTGGTTTTAATTTGCATTCCCCCAATGACTAATATGTATATTTCCCCTTGTTTTCAGCCATCCATTCGTCTTCTTTTGTGAAGTGTGCACTTCTTTATTAGATTGTCTTTAATAGTGATTTTTCAGGGTTCTTTATACATCCTAAATATAAGTCCTTGGACAGATATTTGTACTGTAAATATTTTCTCCCATTGTAGCTCCCCTCTTCATTTCTTTCTAATGAGGTGATTTTAATTAAGTCCGATTTACCATTTTCTATAGTTAGGTGTCTTGTGACTTATTCAAAACATCTTTGCCTACCCCGAGACTGTGAAGATAGTCTCCTGCTTTAGTGTTAACATTTTGATCAGAGTTTGTCAGTCTTGACACTATTGACATTTCAGACTGGAGAATCCTTTAGTGAGGGGTGGGGTTATCCTGTGTTTTGTAGGCTATTTAACAGCATCCCCGGCATCTAGCTACTAGATGCCAGTAGCAGGAGTGGTGGTAATGGTAGCAGTAGTAGCTTTCAAGGTCGTTTTTTTGCATATGGGAATTTAATAGTTGCAGCATTATTTGTCAAAAAGACTTTCCATTCTGCATTGCCTTGACTTGGCATCTTTCTTGAATATCAATTGACCTTATTGTGTGTGTCTATTTCTCCATTCTCTATTCCATTTCACTGGTCTATTTGTTTATTTTACTCTACTTATTAAACATTTTCTTGAATACCCTAGATTGTTTGCATTTTTATATAAATTTAAAATTATTGGTCAAATTCTACAAAAAAATTTAGTTGAGGATTTTAGTTGAGATTGCACTAAAACTATAGATACCTTTAAAATGTCATCTTCCAATCCAAAACGTGGTATATTTCCTCATGTATTTGGGTTCTATAATTTCTCAGCAAAATTTATGGTAGTTTTAAATGTAGAAATCTTACACATATTTTGTAAAATGGATTCCATATACTTAAAGATGGCTGATAGCATTATAAATTGTATTATTTTAATTTTATATTCTAATTGTTTGTTACTTGTGTATTGAATTTCTAATTTTTATGAAATGACTTCAACTCCAACAATTTTTAACTTCACTTTGAAGTTCAGTAATTTGTAGATTTCTTTGGATTTTCTACATGTCAATCACATTGTTTACAAAGAATGAGCCTTATTTTTTCCCAATCTTTATGACTTTTTGTTTTCTGGTCTGTTTCACTGGATTGGACCTTCATCATAATATTGAATAGAAGTGATAAAAGTGGACATTTATGTACTCTTCTTGATCTTGGGGAAAAGTATTTAATATTTTTGCCATTAAGTATAATGTGAGCTATAGATTTTCATACTCAATGAGTTCCTTTCTATCTTTAGTTCAAGAACTGAGTTTTGCTCTAGCAAGCAACCAAAGATACCATGATACCATGGAAGCTTTGTTTTTGGTCTTCTAAAGGCAAGGTGTTTTGTTTTTTTCCCTTTTCTTTGCAATACAGCCCTTAATCCTTGGTCTTAACTCTAATTAGGGGGTTTTTCTGGGATTTCAGGGAAACATTGTTTACCACGTGAACTCCAAACTCTGACTTTGCAAGATGAGCGGCTATTGAAATTTCTGCTCAACTCTCTGGTCTCTCAGCTACTTCTTTCCTCTGGGTGATATTGTGATTTATAATAAATATATGTATTTGGTCTTTGTGCCCTTTTCTGGCACAGAGCTAAAACCCTTGGAATTTAGGACAGTTTCTGAGTTGGTGAACATGTGGCAATGCTGGGAGAGTGACATATTGGGAGAGGGTGTAGAAGTCCCTTTCCCCACACCTCACCCTATGCGTCTCTTCCATCTGGCTATTCCTGAGTGATAGCCTTTTATAATGAACTGGTGATCTAGTAGGTAAGATGTTTCTCTGAGTTCTCTAATCAATCCCGGATTGGGGGTCTTTGGAACCTTGTATTTCTAGCTGGTTGATTAGAAGCACAGGTGACAACCTAGAGTTTTGAGAGACATCTGAAGTGGTGGTGATGGGAGGGCCGTCTTGTGGGACTGAGCCCTTAAACTATGGGATCTGACACCATCTCCTGGTAGACAGTGTCAGAATTGAGTTGAACTGTAGGACCCCCAGCAGGTGACAGAGAATTCCTTGGTGCTGTGGGGAAAACCCCCACACATTGAAACTGGTTACTCTGCATAGGTCAGTTAGGAATCAGCCCAGGATTTAGGTGGAATTAATAAGCAGATTTGGTGGCTCCTCTTTGTTTGGTTCTCTCATTTCTTAGAATTTTCCATTTAGTTCCAGGCATCCTGCAACCACAAATGTCAACATTTATTTCTTTAGTCAGATAAGTCTGCACTTTCATTATGGGCTAAATTCTGTGCAAACTGGGAAGCGTTCTCAGAGAATAAGCAGGGTCAGTGTAGATTCATTTGTTTGTTTCCCTTCTTCCAGTGATTGAATCCCTTCCAGTTCCTTTCTGGTTGTAGTCGTTTTCCAATGCCTTTGACAGTTGTTATTTTTCATTATTTTGTTCAAAATAAATGTGTTGTGAGTAGGAGGCTTATCCTGCTATAAACCGTTCCACTCTGATTGTCGCTCCCCATATTGGATTTCTTACAGTTCCTCAAACACACAACTTTTCTGTGACCTCTGGGTCTCCACATCCGCTATTCCTTTACCTGGAGCACAATCACCCTTGCCCTGTGGCTACCTTGTTTCCAATTATCCTTCATGCAGGAGTTGAAACATCAGTTGCTCCACCAAAGTCTTTTCTTACTATTTCTAATGCACACAGGTTGGTTCTGCTGCTATAATTCCCGTAGCACACTGCACCATTTGTGGTATAAAACTCAACTTGCCTATACTTATTTAACACTTTCTTCCTTCTTAGAGTGTAAGCCGCTTGAGAACAGAAACCGTACCTTATACTAAGCCTCACTGAGAAGAAAGTACTCGGTAAAGATTATAGCTTTTTACAACGCCAAAGTGTAAAATGTTTTGACTACCTTTTCACAAATATTGAGCAAGTGATTTATTAAAGTCATTCATAAGGGAATCCATCAGGATACAGATGCATGTACAGGTGGGCATCAGCCAATAATTATAACAAAATTTTTTTGTCCACTTTGCTAACATTGCCTGTGTGTTCAAACTATGTCCGGCTCAGAAGCACAATAGCACCTTTTTGGAGGGCATTTAGCATCAATAGCACAAAGCAAATATTTAAAAAACTAAGTCCAGATAAGTCTTCTGGTGGCTTTTATATATATCATCACCAAGAAATCCACCTGATAACATGAATGATTTATCATTCATGTCATGAGCTCCAAGACTGTTTTACAGCTTTAAAAAAATCTACTAAGTATAAATATGATCATATTCTTTTCCACTATCCAGAGCTCTCTTCCCCTCTGTAGCTGAGACACATAGAAACGTGTTATGCATCTCGGAAGTTGGATTAACTCATTCTAGACAAAAGGGTGACACTGCAATAGGCACCATTAGACATATTCGGTCTTCTCTTCAGAAAACCAAACACATTTAACAAATCAGAGTTTGGATATCCTGGAATGCTCCTGGGTACTCCATTAATTTAAGTAGGAACGAGGGTCTAGCACAGGGCATGGCACATCGTTGTGAAACAAACATTTATTTAATAAATCAATGAAAATGGCCACAGCAAAAATTCAAAACAAAGGCAATTACAATAAACAAAGTTTATTGATTAGTCCATAAACATGACCTTTAAAAAAAAAAAGTATAAACCATACAACTGACTCTGGTAAATAAAACAAGGTGCTCCCCGGGTGGGAGGTCCACCTAACCAGCACAGCTCTTACAGCGCTGAAGACCATTCTCGTTGCAGGCAGTACACTTCAAAGCTTTGAAAGAGTCTGTAAAGCAGTTTCGAAACACTGACATCTTGCTCCCATGGCAGACAGAGCACGGAAGAAAGCCAAAGCCTCCACAGGAGGGACACTCATGTGGATGCTGCACTCTCTGTAGAGAGGACAGAAAATGCGTTAGCATGAACAACTCAGTCAGCCTTCCTGTCATTCCGTATTGTGGATGGTCGTAAAATAATGTTGGCATAATATGGCTGTGGACTTGAAATCAACGACCATTTATGTACATTAGACCCAGGGGGAAAGTTCGCTGAAGTTTTCCTTATTATCCCATTGACGGCCATCAATAGCACAACCTTGGTTTGTGAAGGCTGGTACATTTTAGGTTAAAGGGTCCATATCCCAGGAAATCTATCATATGAAAACACATATTTACAAACCAAGCAATTCAGGAAATGGTTCTTCACATTAGGGGAAAGTACGGTAGCTTTCCCTTTAGTATCTCTTAACAGTTTTATATCTTTGTTTATAGAAGAGTATCATTAATAATGAGTCTGGAATATCAGAAAACAAAAAGCTGAAGAGTGGAGAAGTCACTACCAACTGAAGATTTGTTGTTGTATTGCACATTTGAATAATGCTTTGTTTTTTTAAAAGCACTTTCAAATGCCTTATTGCGTAGAATCTTTCCTTACCCCACCCTTTACACATACAGACACCTTCTACTGCAAAACAGATAATTCAGGCATCTTTACCCTCATTAAGGAAATAGACATTGAAATCTTAAGACATTTATCTAAGTCCATAAAACTTCCCACAATGGCTATCCGTCGTTCTACCTCAAGTAAAGATAGAATACCCTCCTACTAGAATAAAAATAACTATGCGGTATGTTGAGGATAATATTTTGAAAATTATTCACACACATTTCTATTTGCTTCTTTGAGCACATATCCTTTGCTGGAGTCCACTAGTGGTATCCATCAGCTGTGGGGAAATTAGGACAGAGTCATTACAGAATGAATACAAGAAGAAAAGTGAATTAAGACCAAGCTTCTGACTTGCAAAATAGGAGTCTGCAGCAATGTTTGAAAGCTTGGCTTTGTGAAGAGAATAACTGCTAAAATAAGATTGGGAAATATGAATCTATACACACCCACAGAAATACACTCAGACAAACATATTTTACATACACATATGTATGGCTGTTCTCTAGAGACTCACAACTGCACATACCAAAGCCTCCAAAGCACCCAAATGAAAAGGAACCTGATTAATTAGGTTTAACCCATCATTTCCCCAGGACATACAGCTATGTTAACACTTTTCCCAGGAAACAACTATAATTCTCTCACAATTAGTACCTTAAGGAATGCACTTTGGGGAACAAACATTAAGGGCATGATTGCCTGAAAATCTGTATGTTCCCAGACTCCTTTTCAGATACACATTTTCTCTATATAGCAAAGTTCACTTGCAATTACAGTTTGACTTAGCTATTACAGCAAGATGGCAAAATACATATAATATCTCATTTTTAGTGCCACTTTGATGGAAAGTAGTGACTGGCAAGCTGAATGAAACAAACAAGGAACTTTATAGAGACTACAGATTCAAAACTGTCCCAAAAAGTTAGATTGAGCATGTACAGCAATCTAGTTACTATGTAGGCGGGTTTTTGTCGTTCCTTTGTGCAAGAATTGACCAAAACATGGTAGTGTGAATTTATAATTTTACATAACATTAAAAAGTCTTTAGGGGCGCCTGGGTGGCTCAGTCGTTAAGCGTCTGCCTTCGGCTCAGGTCATGATCCCAGGGTCCTGAGATCAAGCCCCGCCTGCTTGTGTTTCCTCTCTCGCTGTGTCTCTCTCTGTCAAATAAGTAAAATCTTTAAAAAAAAAAAAAAAAGTCTTTAGAAAAGCCCCCTCTTTAGGAAATGAAGAAATTCCTTCATAGGAAAAGGAGCTACTTTTAGTAGCTCTCAAGATAGGAAATGAAGGTAGTTTAAAAGCAAATTATAGGAGAATTAGTAAATAATGGTGTTCTTATCAAATTTTAGAAAAATATGATAAAGATAGGCCCTTGACATTCACTAGAGGTATGCTAGAAGTTTATATTAAAAATATATAATGACTTGTACAGCAAGAGCCCTGACTTGTCAGAACAGATGTTGGGCTGGCCTAGGTCCTAGAGAAAGGAACTGCAGGACCCTTGAGTCCAGGACTTCACCCATTAGTGCTAGATTATAACTAGGTTTGGGTTCCAAGTGGAATAGGGTTATCAAATTTTGCAATTAAAAATATGAGATGCCCAGTTAATTTGAATTTCAGATAGACTACAAATAAATCTTTGTATAGGTTTGTCCCAAATATTGTCAAACTATGGAAACAGCCCAAGTGTCTCTTGATACTTGAATGGATAAAGAAGATGTGGCAGATATATGCAATGGAATATTACTCAGCCATCCAAAAGAATGAAATCTTGCCATTTGCAAGGATGTGGATGGAGCTAGAGAGTATTACGCTAAGTGAAATAAGTCAGAGAAAGACAAAAATCATATGATTTCACTCATATGTGGAATTTAAGAAACAAAACAAATGATCATTGGGGGGAAAAAAGAGAGAGAGAGAGAGAGGCAAACCAAGAAAGAGACTCATAACTATACAGAACAAACATAGTTATCAGAGGGGAGGCGGGGGGTGATGGATTAAATACGTGATGGGGATGAAGGAGTGCACTTGTTGTGATGAGCATCAGGTGTTGCACATAAGTGTTGAATCACTATATTGTATGCCTGAAACTAATATTACACTGTAGGCTAACTAACTGGACTTTAAATAAAAACAACAAAAAAAGAGCAAATCCCATGGTCTTTCCTCTTTAATAGTAGTTTTTAACTTTATTTACATCCATGCTCGTCTCCAATAACATATTACATGGGATCCCCAAACCTAAAAGAGTTAACATGATAAGTGCTGTGACTGAAACAGAAGTGGGGGAAGGGTGAGTGGGTCTGGAGCTCCCACTGGTCTATTAGCCTCCAGGAATCTCATTCCTGTTAAGTCATCCAGCACAATCTACTCCATTTGTTCTTCTAATAAAAATAAATAATTCAGTCATTTCTAGCTGTCTCCTCCAGAGAGCACTTTTGTTATAATGTTATACTTTCATCAGACTGTGGTTCCAACTTAAAAGAGTTTCAACAAAGAGAAAGAACTGGCTTGGATTCGATGTATTAGATACAGCTAAATAGACGGTTCCGCCCTCAGGACAGATGTTGAAACAGCTAGAAAAGTCCCCTAAGCAGGGACAATGTCTAGGAAGGAGGAAGAAGGAATAACCGAAGTTAACAATAGTTATTATTCATAGCAACAAAACAGACTTTCTCTTTCAATGAAGAGATTTACTGCAGAAACATTGAATGTGAAGCAATTAGTTCTTCCGTGCCCGTAGCCCAGCAAAGCAAGAAATTATGCAGACCTGGGTGAGAATAACACACACAGAGGACTGAGTCTACAGAATGGCCATTCTTTGGAATGGGGGTTTGGGTAGAAGCATGTCTCTTTGGGGTGGAATTCAAGAAAAAAGGAGGGAGAAGTCATCCTCTCCTTTTACGTATTTCTGTTCACATACACTTGGTGAGAGATTTTAAACAAATAGATATTCAGCAGGTGAGACACTTTCATGTATTCATCCATTCCACAAATACTGAGTGTCTACTTGCCAGACACTGTACAAGGCACTGGGGATAAAGCAGTGAGCCAGACACTTTCCTGTTCACTTCATAGTAGCTCTCAGCCCTACCCTCAGGTCTTTGCATAAGTCTACTCCATCCTGCAATCATCTGAATTGAAGCACAGAACTCCAGAGTCTCTAACAAAGGACCAAGGCGACAGGGATAAAAGGGGAGAACTCACGAATGGCTACCACATAGATTTCCTTTGTAGCACAAACTCAAATTCAGAAACATAAAGAGATTTTCCCCTTACCTAATATAGAAACATCACAGGGTTTCAGTGTCTTCCTCGAGATTAGGAAATGAATATATTTATTATTTCTAACCTCCGATTGCCCTTTCCTATTCTAGTAGAGCTTGAAAGACTCATGTATTCCAGCAAAGAGGAAGTGATTTATCTGAGTTCCTGTAACCATAAACCTCATCATCTAGATTGTCTATGGAGCAAATTTATCCACATAACAGACTGTCAAAGAGTGCACACTTGGCATATAATCATCTCTGGACAATTTACCTTTGTCTATGTATTTTGTTTTAAACTATAGTCAACAATTTAATTCAGCAAATGCTTGTTAAGTGCCTGCTAAACACCTCTGTCTGATCAAGCTGCTAATAGACACAATCTTTCCTGATAATCAGAGTTTCCAGCACCCTCCATTTGCAGACTGGAGAAAGAAGCCACTGAACAAAATGCAGACACAGAGGAAATTTGTAGCTTACTATCCTAAATGTGTAAGTCTAAATATATGAGTCCGATTCTTGAACCCAGGGTGATGGCTTGCCACAGACCTACTTAAAAAGATGTTCAGATTTCAGAGAGAGGCAGACAGGGTACATGGCCTGATTTCCCAGGTGAGTGGGTTCTGCTCTCCTGCTGTGGTCTATGAATACGCCATGGCCACCCCCAGCGGGAGGGGCAAGGGGGCGAGCATCCAGAACTCTGCTTCTCCAGGGAGGGTTAGGACAGTTTCTGACAGCTCCAATGCCCCGTAAAAATACCCATAGCATCCTCCATGTGTAGCTAAAAATCTTACTTCTGTTCTTCATGAACAATACATAAGTAGTCACCAGCCCTCAGGGGATAATCAGATTTTACAAGAAAAAAGTACAGGAAATGGACATTATGTTGGCAATCTCATTAGAATGACAAGAATGTTTGTTCATATCTTTAAAAAAAATGGCGAGGCAAAAGCTTACTTGGAGCGTCTCTACCGTCTGCAATTTTTAATTCAGTATCTGCCATAACCAGGTGTTTGTTAATACATCTCAAGTCTCCCGTGGCTTTCTCTGTGTGGACACCAGCAGGATCAGCTATCCATCATAGTTATTGTTTAGGGGGAGCCTTAAACACTTCTTTGCTTCTAATCTCCAGCTTGTTTATTTATATAAAGGAATTCATAAATATATAAATAAATAAATTTTACTCAAATGGTGTTTTCATTTCATCCTTCTCACCCAAGCATTATCCTACATAAAATACTGAAAACTAGAACCTGAATTATGAGGACCAGGACAGTCATTGTCTACCATGTAGGACCAAGTAACAGCAAACTAGAACTTGGCAAGATCTGTCTGGCTTCTCTTGAAAGTTATCACCAATTTACCTATCTTCCAGGATGCCCCACCCCTAGTTTCCAAGATCCTAGTGTTAAAATCTAGCTTGTTCCCTGGATCTAATGCTCTGTCTACTTGAGCCTTGGGTCTTGCCACATATGGTCAGATTTCCCAGACAACTACATGCCACTTAATTTGAGAGTCATGGCTACATAGATTCATGCTTAAGACCATGGGCTTTGGAGTCAAGGTGATTAGAATCATAACTCAAACACTATGTGTAAGATCTTCAGCAACTGATCTAATCCTCTGTGCCTCCATTTCCTTGTCAGTAAAATGGGGATAATAACAGAACCCAACCTGCAGAATTGTTGTGAGGTTTCAATGACTCAGTACATGTAAAACATCAAGAATATTACTTGCTACCTAGTTAAGTTTCCAATGTTTCCAACCTCATGAATATTTAACTCCTACTCTGCTGCCAAAAGTCAACTTGAAGAATGGGATGGGTTTAGACCTGAATCTTGCATCCTTTATCCACTTTTCTTGGGCTCTTCCAGTTGCCTCTCCTGAAGGTCAGTATCATTACCTAGGTTAGTGAGCCTTAAGCCTCTCTTTCAGCAGAGTTTAGGGCTTTCTTGGACAGCTGCAATTTCTCTACCAGTTTTGTTATATGGGAAAAACAGCCCAACAGAGTTATAGCACCTTTCAGCAACTACAGCAGCAGAAGGCAGTACCATACAATTCTTTTCAACATTACCAATAGTCTTAAATATTTGCACTTTATTTTTGTCATCTGTAGAATGGAGACAGACTTAATGAAGAGAACAAAATCTTCTTTCCAAAATTCTTTTAGCTGAGAGAGAAAGGTTATATTTATATAGCATGATGGTGTTAATCAAGTTGAATTAAGGGATTATAGACTCAAAGAATAAAAGTTCATGAACAGCTAAGCCAATCATCAATCTTTAAAAAGAACAATGAGAGAGATTTACCCTATATGACTCTAAAAGATGCTGTTAAACCACAGAAATGAAAACAGTATGACATTGGTACTGTAAGAACAGACAGTGGAACTGACTAGAGAGCTCAAACCAAGGCCCAAGTATAAATGGGGATTTACTATGATATAAAATTGGCACAACAAAGCAATAAAAAAATAGTAGATTATTTAATAGGTGACTGGGGTAAATCGGAGGGGGAGACGAACCATGAGAGATGATGGACTCTGAAAAACAAACTGAGGGTTCTAGAGGGGAGGGGGATGGGGGATGGGTTAGCCTGGTGATGGGTATTAAAGAAGGCACGTTCTGCATGGAGCACTGGGTGTTATACACAAACAATGAATCATGGAACACTACATCAAAAACTAATGATGTAATGTATGATGATTAACATAACAATAAAAAATTTTTAAAAAATTAAAAAAAGAAAAAAAAAGAAAATGAAGGGCAACCCGGTTGGGACCCTTCTCACTCCTGAGAACTTTTTCTGTATCTTCACTTAATAAACTTCTATTGCTTTACTAACAAAGAAAAGAAAAGAAAAGAAAAGAAAAGAAAAGAAAAGAAAGAAAGAAAGAAAGAAAGAAAAGAAAGAAAGGAAAGAAAGAAAGAAGAAAGAAAGAAAGAAAGAAGAAAAGAGGAGAAAATGAAAGTGCATTCTATATGAATTAAGACCTAGATGTGAAATGTTATAAAGTTAATAGAAAGTAATACAGGATGATAATTATGTGACCTTAAGATGAAAGTTTACTTCATTATGAGGAAGAATGATCAATTTGATTATATCAGAGGATTTCTACTGGATGAAGGACATCATGAAAGAAACTGAAAAAAGGAAAGGAAATATTGACAATGACTAAAACAAACAAAAAATTAATATTTAGAATACAGAAGGGGCTTCTGAAAACCAACCAAGAAAAAAAAAGACAATTCCAAGACTTTTATGATGTAAGGTGTAAGAATACACAATTCACACAAGAAATTTAAAATCTAACAAGCTTAAATGAGATACCTAAACTCAGTGGTAATCAGGAAAATGTAAATTAGAACAAAAGGGCAATATATATTTACACCTATACCCTAGCAAAAATTAGAGAACAGTACATTAGAGAACAATATAAAAGAGTAAAGAATGCAGAAACAAACAAATAAAAGAATGTGGGAACACACTAAACTTCTTTCTCTACAAGAGAGAATATCTGCCAGATGCAACCATTTCAGAGACCCATCTACCTGGAAAATTAAGCGTATGCTTAAGCAATTTCTACTCCCAGAGAAATCCATAAGGGAACATGTTCAAGGCTGCTCCTGGCAGGGTGTTGAAGGACATCGGGGTATCCATTGGTGGAAAAGTAGGTAGGTAAAAAATAGTGGGTGGTCACCATGGAGCTGCACTGTCCAAAACAGGAGCCACTGGCCACATGTGGCTATTTAAATTTAATTTTAAATTAAGTAAAATTAAATAAAATTAAAATTTCAGTTTCTCAGTCACACTAGCCATATTATTCATAATAGTGGTTATAAAGTGCTCAGTAGCCATATGTAGCCTGTGGCTCCTACTTTGGATAATACAGATATAAAATATTTCCATCATGGAGTAGTTAGAAGAAATGGATTAAATGTTCATACAGTAACATAGATGGTCCTTAAAAACATAGCATCTAGTGAAAATAATTTGCACCAAAATTAGGTAAAGTACATAACAACATTACATAAATTAAAAATGTACACAGAAAATAATAATACACTTTAACCCAGTTAAATCCTTTAAATAAAAAGATATGCCAAATTAATGGTTTCAAGAGGTTGGAGTTGAGTATAGAGACAAAAGGAAAAAAATAAATCCATCCATACAGATTTTCAAGCTGAGAGGAGTTTCAGACTATGGAGTACTTGCCCTCATGGTGTTTGTCCTTTGGAAAAGATCACAATATGAATAAGACATGACTCCTAAAACCAAGGCATACATAGTTCATTTGGGACATGAGTCAAATAACCAAAGAAAAATAATACAAAAGTGAAAAATAATTTTGATAAGCATCCAACAAAAAGAGAGTTATAGGAATTCCAAGGTGAGAGAGACCAGGAATGGTGTGGGGAAGAAGGGATACTCTGTGTTGGTCTTGAAGATGGTGGAAGGAAATGAGGAATTGGACCAAGGGCATTCTAGTCAGACAAGACAGCTTGCACAAAGGAATGGTAGGAAGAAGCCACAAATAGTTCTCTCTTTCAAGTGAAGTACAAAAAATGGTAGAGAATCAGACATGAGGTCAGTAAAGGAAACTAAAGCAAGAAGAGCTGGTAGTGGCATATAGATAGATACTGGGTGACCATATTGCCCAATTCACCTGAGAATGTCCTGGTTCGTGTGTGCAGGCCCAGAACAATTGTTAATAGACCCTTTTCACTCTCAAAGTGTCCCAGTTTGGGCAAGAAAACATATGACTTTCCTACTGATAGAGAGAAACAGGCTGATAAAATAGTTTAGCAGAGGGCTTCCTGGTTCCATATTGATGCGATACATTATATATTTGAACCAAGCACTGCTCTGATGCTATAATTATAAGGATTGGAACAAAATTAAAGTGTGCACTTTTGGAGAAACCATTTTTCTGTAATCTTTAGAAATGATAAGCTGGTCCATGGGAAAAATAATTTAAATGAAAAATTGTAAATGTGCTTCAAGACAATTGCCTGATTCTGAAACACCTCATCAACATCTCTATTACGAAGAATTAGGCTCTAATAACACTGACTGGAATTCTCACCTAATAGTATGAGGTTGGGAGAAGCTAACACCACAGTCACTCCAGCTGGAGCAAAACTAATGGCAGGTGATATCAAATTAAAACTGCCACACGTATCCTGTTCCATATTTGTTAGAACATGAGGAGAAAAATGCAATTAGGAAAACTCAACTACAATCAGAATGTGTTTAACATTTTGATTACTAAAAATAAGTTGCTAAAAGCACAATTACCTCAATTTTGGTTAAAAGGTCTTGCAGTTCTCCTGATTCATTCATTGACAAAATTTTCTCAGCACCCTATTAACAAGAAAGGGTTGGGGGGAGAAAATCCATTTTGTTAGTATTGGAGGAAACAAAGTTCTAGCCAGGAGAGAGCTTAACCCACAAGATATGAACACCATTCTTCCCTTAAGATCTAAGTAAACTTACAACCAGGAGGCCAAAGAGGGGAGGAAATTTCTTTTTCCCTTCACATATTCTCCCATTTAGTAAGGCTTAGTGGGAGCAGAAGGAAGACGGCCAGCAGGAGGTGAGAGCCGGGAAGCCCACAACTGTCAGATTACATCCAGATATGGAAGGTTCCAGCACCCCCTCCCCACAGAGTTGTTCAGTTCTGCCATCTGGGAAAGGAGACCATTGAGCAAATTCCCAGCCGGGGCTGTCTCCACCCTATTCCCAGCAGTGCTGACCTGACCCTTCTTACAGTCATGCATGTAAAGATAGCAGCAGCTAATAGCAATAATGAAATTAAAAACCACTGACACTAATTAAGCACGCATTATGAACCAGGCACCCAACATCATCTGATTAGAAGTGGTAGACTCTATTAATAGCACAAAGTGAGCCTCAGTGAGATTAAGCAACAATTCCAAGGCCACGCAGAAAGCAAGCAGAATGGGAATTTGAACACAAGCAGGGAACTCACCCCACATGGAAGGAATCCGTGCCATTTGGAACTCCAGAAAGGATTCAGAGCAGAAGAAATCTGAATGCAACCCTGAGCCAATCCCAAACTTGACCATGAAACCGAGAACAGGGGCAATGTTCGCACTTTCCAACAAACTCACAGTGTTTCTTCCAACTACCGCATTCTCCTTTCCTGCCCAGCCTCTTACATTCTCCTACTCGATTTCCCAAAGTAGAGGCATACAGAAGGAAGGAAATTATTTCTGATCAAAGGCAGAGACCATGCGTGCCTTATTCACCACATCTCCCTGCAGCAGAATAACAGTTGCTGGCACAGAAGAGGTGTTGAATCAAATTTTGATTAATCAACAAGATGGGGAGAAATAGCATCACACAGTAAATGCTTCTTGGATTCCTCTGCGTGCTGGGCAGGGTGGAAAACTCAAAGACTCCCTTAAAAAAATTTAAAAGGTCTTTGTACTTAAGAAGGTTATGATAGATTTTTATGCAAACACCCAACAAAGCCACAATGCAGAATGGAAAAGGAAAGTGTCAAGTGGGTGGTGCAGAGAAGGACAGTGAGGAAATCCTAACATGGGTGGGAAGGATCTGCTTATTAAGGGCAGAGAAGGCTTTCTGAGGTTAGTGGCGTTTGATCTGGACTCTGAAGCTTAAGGGAGGTTTCTAAGACAGGGTAGGCAATTTTCAAACTGGTGTAGAGGAGCCTTTAGTTCTGGATTTTATTTCAGTTTATCTTATAAAACTCATGTCATCGGAATCACCATCAGAAATGTCGACTTGATATATTAAAAAGTACTATGAATGAAGATGCAGGGTTACAGAGGATATATGTAGCTCTACAGGGCAGGTTATATTCTTTTACTTGGGGGTGGCTTGGCCAGGAGTACAAAGAGACACCTACGGTGGCAACCAAGGTAACGAAAGCAGCGAAGAAAACATGAAATTCTAAATCATAGCCATAACTGGTAATATTCTACTTTCGTTGCATTCCATTTCTTTTAAGAGTCAGCTATGTGCTAAAATGGGAAAAGCTCCTGGGGAATCTGGTCCATGAGCGAAAGCAGCGAGGAGAATATATGACTCATTTTTCTTCAATGAAAGCACATGCACCACAATGACCCCAAACAAAATGAATGTCCCAGAGAAGCTATCACGCATCTGCTTCCCAGCACTTTTCTTATCTTAGCCGTCAAGGAGCCTTAGTCAGTTGTTTAAAATACAATGCATAGGCCAGGAAAGGACTTCTCATTACCCATCAATACATGCAATTTGCCCTGCCTCAGCCAAGTAATTCCAGCACCATCAATAGTGCAAGAGCAGGTTCTGCGTTTCAATAGAAACACAGGCTTCGCTCACATTAAGCAATATATCTAAATGCATGATAGTCACCTGCTCTTCAAGACACACCTGGGGTCTGGTGCATAGGTGGTGTACCAAGTGCTGAAGGTGGGAAAAGCTCTGCTCTGTACCAGAGACCTGGGAGCTGAGTACTCGGTTCTCTCTCAACGGCTGCTACTCAGTATGGCCTCCACCCACAAGTCCACCTGGGCGGCACTCAGATCATTTCCTCGGAATGAGCCCTCTGCTCTTTTGCCAACTACTGAGCAGAAACAGTAGTCATAGTCCCCTGCCTCCCCACTGGGTCCCGCGTCCCCAACCTCCACCGGACCCTGTCCTTGCCGAACCTAAGTGCAAGCATGTAAGTCTACCATTCAGTTCCACACAAGTAGAAATTAATTAATCTTTCTCTTCCTTGGCATAGTTTTCCAAGACTTCCAGGATACCTATGGAAATATTTCTAATGTATTTTTCAAGTGATTCAGAATTTTTTTCTGAAAATTAGTACAATCCTGAAATTAATGATAATAGGAATGTGCGGCGTGCTTTATAGACACTGGCTCTTTTAATCATCAATGAAAAGTAAGCGTTATTATCTCATTTTTTTAAATAAAGAAAATAAAGTTTGAAGAAAATAAGGAACATGCCCAGCACCTTTTAGTTCATCAACACAAAGCCTGGCCAGATCTTGAATTCAGGTCATGCTGCCTCTAAAACCTGCACTCTTTCCATGATGCCATGCATGCTGTCTGCTCATTGAAATAATTTATTAGTGAAAAAAATGCTACAGATAAATCCTAGTCTGTGGAACATGACCCGTGTACGATTAGGATTCCTTGTTGACAAGGTGCCCAAGAAAGTCAAGTGAGTGCAAGCTTTCACTTCAAGGACTCTAAACAATTCATTTGAATGTGCCAGAGAAGCTAAGGAACATCGCAATTTCTTTCTTAGGTCAGTGTTATGCCTTATTTGGTTATTTCAAATACACTGCATATTCCAGGAAAAGACTTACTTCATTATCAACTTCAATACATGAAATTAGCTCTATTCTCAAATTCTTCCCACCTCAAAATTCTGAGCAGTGAGCTGTGACATGTGAACAAACCACTTTATTTTACATGTAACAAGCTTCTCAGATGAAGATAAGACACTCTACATAATCGTTCCTCATATAAATCACCAAAAAGAGACTCACACCTTCAAGGAACAAGAACAAGTTGAGAAAAGTTATCAGCCCCTTGCTGATTAGGACTGCCAGACACTTACCCATCATTTTTCATCCATGAATGTGCAAAAGCGGGCCACCATACTCATTCATACTTATGTTCATTCACCTATTTCCACATTCAACGCAGTTTGGAGCTTCCATGATGGGTTAGGCACTGTGCTAAGTGTTAGAGATATAAACAATAAACAAACAAACAAAAAGTCTCCCTGTACTGAGGGAGGTAAAATCTTCTGGAGGAGACAGATGTTAAACAAAAGATCACACAAATAAATGTAAATTTATCACTGTCATAAATACCACAAAAGAGATGTTGGTACAAGATATTGTAAAAGTATATATAGTAAGGTGTAATTAACCTAATCAACAAGATCAGGGAAAACTCTGTTAAGTAATGATTAAGCTGTTATCTTTATGAAAACGAGTAGGTAACTGAGCACATAGAATGAAAGGAAGGAAATTAATTAGGAAAATAAGGCTACCAAATATCATATGTACATGACTTTTTATGGTCACCATTTCCTTTGATCCAAAATAAGAAAAACTATGTTCAATGAAACTTCCTATCAGATTCTGCATAGTATTTTGGATTGGTGCCCTGGAAGAAACATAGGGAAGATACCAGGCCACAGTGTAAGCAGTATATTTTACCAATAAGCTGAGGAGAACATAAAGTTGGTATAAGCCAGCTTAGATTCATCATACTCTTCCAGATCTCTGTGAAGAGTTGTAGGTCAAGGGTTTCCAAACATCATCATAGAAAACCAAAATAAACAAATACAAACATGTAAGTACTTTTTTCTGAAGAATTACTTAAAGTCACACATATAGATTTTAGCTGTCTCCAGGCTGATGGATCTCCATGCTGATATCCAAGGCTCCGCAGGTCCGCATTGAACACCCACGTTTGGAAACCACTGACCTGAAATTTCTGAGAGGTCCAGAAGAACTAAAAAAAATGTTCTCATTAACCAAAACCAAACACAACTTTTAATGTATATATACACATAAGCATATTGTGTGTTATATATCTATATTACATATTATTTTGTTTTAATTTTTATTTACATTTATTCACATACCACTTCATCTTACTAAGAAAGTTGCCCACAATACAAGATCCATACAATGATATAATAAAATAAAATTTGAATAAAAATTCAGGACATAAGAAATGTCCTAAATACGTTTCAAAATGATAGCTACGATTGAGCCTTAAATTTAATTCTAAGCCAGCTCCTCAGCTGAAACAAAGTTTTTCTTAGCATGGTCCGTCAAACAACGCAATGCCTTACTATAATACTTTAGACGATCTGGCTACTATAATAAATAATACCCCTGCTTTTTCATGAACCATAAAAATATAGTCTCCAAATAAATACCAGCACAGAAGTAGCTCTTTTTTTTTTTTTTAAAGATTTTATTTATTTATTTGACAGAGAGAGACACAGCGAGAGAGGGAACACAAGCAGGAGGAGTGGGAGAGGGAGAAGCAGGCTTCCTGCCGAGCAGGGAGCCCGATGCGGGGCTCGATCCCAGGACCCTGAGATCAGGACCTGAGCCGAAGGCAGACACTTAACGAATGAGCCATCCAGGCGCCCCCAGAAGTAGCTCTTGACTCAAATAGTACAAGTTTTCATCCTTCCCGCTGGCTTCAAGCAGGCTCCTTTTGCCTCTCGCTTAACCACCTCCCTGCCATATATTTCTCTCTATTTTATCAGTAAACTGCTTGCTGGAGTATCTTCTAGTGACTGGGATGAAACCCCAGCTCCTCAGCATGGCCGACAAAAACCTCCACGATCTGGTG